GGTGGTTTCGTAACGCTATACAACATCTACCTAGATGTATGCTTCTCATTGTTTTTAGGCGACCTTGGCACTACCTGAATTGGAAGTCCTGACTGGTGAGACAATCGATCGACACAACCAGGTCACCGTTCAACACTTCCGGCAAACCAATCATGTCGCTGAAGCGTGAAGTTCACCTCTTCAAATGTGATTTTATTCGGCTGCAGCCAGCGTGCACTGGCGGAGCAGTGGCAGCACGCTCGCCCCACATGTTAGATGTCTGGATTCAGCATGGCCAATAATATGTACTGTTGATGAGCTCTACTGAGAGCGAAACTCGAGTTCACTGCTCTTCCATTTAGTATGGACTCCAACTACCCGAAAGATTTCATTTTTTATTCACCAGGCATTGAATATATTCAATTATGGTGAAATCCATTGTCAGATTTGGAAAAAAATTTCATTGATTAGGTCTTAGCCGAACCTAGCCGTTATCAGCAATAAGACTGCGTTGTTTGGATTGTTGCTTTTTTACCTTCATTTATTTACTAGATCAAACAAACCGTTCAACGTTCAGAGATTGTAGTCAGTTAAGGTAAATATTTGAGGAAGACGTTTTAGAACTGAGGCAAATCCTTAAAGTCAAAAGTCAAATGCAACTTTCAATCGATCTCCTATCTCTGGAAGGATAATCGAATGGTAAACAGCACTTTTTGGTCCTCCGGAGAAGTCCAGCTTCGCACATTTCCTAGCATCCACTCGCTCATCAACAGACGGCAGCAATCCTGTTCAGTCGAGTTTCTTGTCACAGGCCTTGACCAGGAGCAGCAGACAAATTAGTAGAGACACAGCATAGTTCTGTCGTGAGATGTGACTCAGTGTCACGTGACCCGTTTCATGGCACAGAGATTATCCCTGGGTTGTATTCAAACCCACTCCTGTAAACTTGTAAGCTTCAAGCTTGACAGCGTGACAACTTCATAGTGGAACAGTGTACCTTTAAGTTGACCTTGCACTATAAATTCAAAGAACTACATTTGCAACACATTTTGACTCTGTGAGTTTTGGGAATGTTCACATCCTACATAACACGACCGAATTATATTTTTTTAACAGGCTATGCGACCTGTGATTCGCTGTTTACCACCAAAACAGTGTGAACAGCGGCAGATTTCCTTCTAAATGGGAATGAACAAAATTCTGAATAAGGGAACCTACTTGGAGGTCACACATTTTTGAGATACATGAAACTGAAGATCGGGTACGGCTACCGATCAATATTCGTTCCTTTAAACTATATTTTTCAATTCAATTAAGGGCAGGCAGTGAAAAAATCTGCAAATTTGTTTATTTTATTACCAGGAATGTTCATTCACCATGCCTGAAAATTTCCTCACTGGAGTTCCCTAATCAAAACATACCTGATCAATGATTTTTCATCATTCACGATTCCTCCCAAGATTCTAACAGTCACCTTCAAGATAACGGTGGTCATTAATGGGAAATCGATTGATCTGATAAGACAAATCTGTTAAGGAAGAGCTTTTTTCCATTTTTAAGACCATAAAATCGTGGTTCATACCAAAAGCGTTCTGGTTTAGGTTGTGTTACCCCTGCGTCCACAAATCTAATGACATCACTCCATTGACTTGCTATATTCAACTGATATGCGTTTTGTTGGTGAATGTAACAAAAGTTATTATACTGTCCCTAGGGATACAGTCACAATGATCTCTGTTGCATGAGAAACTCAGCACTAGGCATCTCTTATTCATGAGGATAGCACACGATTCGTCCTCCGCAACCAACTGACTACGTGTCTTCCACAAAAAATACGCTAAATTAAAGCAAATAACTATGAAATTTTGGCTACTAATGCTTCGGTAAGCTGACTAATTTAGAGCAGTTCACAGTCCAAACGCGAAAGCATTTTGACAATTTCTAGGAGGCTAAAGGATTGTGTAAATTCCGAATGATAGTGGTGTAACGATGTACATCCCTAATGGAGGATGCAAACAGTCAGTTAACGGTCGTCCAGGCTCCGCCATCATATCTGATGGAAGCTGGAGGTTACTGTAGAAATAACGCAAGTGTTTTGCAGCTACAATTGTCTATATTCGAAGGAAGTCCAGGAAAGTGTAAAACGACGTTTGAGTATGCTCACTTTTCAAAATCTCTGTGCATATAAAATGTCTACTTTTGGGTCAAAAAGCACTCAGTCTCTTGGTTCGAGTTTGTCAACAAATGACCTGGAAGTGAAGGGCCTTCCTCACCTTATTTGGTACCCTTGAAAGAATACGGACTAAGGTTGCGTGGCCACAGACTTTCAAGGATGCGGATGTGCGTACATAGCTGGGGGTCTTCGAATATTAAAAAAGTTAAACGAGCGCTTCGAGACAGTTAATTTATTTCCACAGCAACCTTCGTCTCCCGTCAGATACGGCGGCGAAGTCTGGGCAATGGACAAGAGACTATTTGCGTGTTTCATCAGTAGTATAGGTCGTTAAACCGGTAACACATGACAAAAAACGTAACTGGTTTGTCCAGTATGCTTGGAATTGTGTCCCACCTCAACTGCTATTAAAGTAATTTAAACCAATTTGTCCGGTACATAAAAAACCCAAAGAAGGAACAAGTTCTTCGATTATGAGTGCAATTGAAATTGGCTGCATTTACGTCAATAGTTGAATTTTGCAAGTATGTATAAAATTCGTCTGTTGTACTCCAGGTCTAAGTGTGATCTGATTCGGGACCGAGATGATCCGGCGCACAGGTTACCACAAAATGTCTTTCAAGAAACTAATTGCCCAGACTGATAAAATGGGAAGGATTTGTGCTAGCCCATCGACATATATATGTTGAATGTAGAATCCTTAATGAGGTATCACCTCTGGGTCCCGTGGGGTTTGTATTTGGCTGCCTAATGGATGCTTTCGCTGTCCACTTGAACCTTAATAGGTTGACAAATTATGGAACCTGCGGTACAGTGATTAATCTTAAAAAGAAGTCCAGGCAAGCGTACTTTGCACGATAAAGGGAGCAACGGAGAAATGCCTAAGACTTGATGCTCATCAGACTAGTGCCCTAGTATCCGGTTAACTACTGGATCAAGTACACATACTGCCGTTTGTAAGCAGAAGACGCTTGTTTTAACAATCCTTTTCCCTTCCTGATGTAATTGTTGTGGTTGGTTCACACAAAAGTATGGAGGTACTGAGCTTACTTGCTTACTTTTTATTTATGTTCGATTCAAGGCCACTCACACACTCAAAAAAGCTCTATAAACGGCGCTTTATAGCTATAAGTGGAATTCCCAGGATATTCTTCCACAGACTTGAATGTGAGCTTCCCTTGTTCAAATATATTGCTTACGATGTTAGGTTCAAACAGCACTCCAGTCCAAATGTTTGCTCCTGAGACCAAAATTAACCACTTCAGCTCAGATCAAGAGCCCGGTTACCTAGTGAAAACATTCAAATCGGCTTATACAGCCGTCCTCTCATATTACAAGAGGCAAACAAAAGTCCATCGGAGAAACTTGAGACCCATAAAAGTTTGTTTTGTCGTCGGGACTTCGGTTAGAAATAATCCACCCAGCTTAGGCTCAATAGAAACAAAAGATTCTGTGTGCTTCTCAACTTTCAACACCACATCGAAAGGCGCAGTAAAAGAGTAAAAAACCACGATGCAATTAAACCCACTCGTAACGTACCACTTTCTGATGTCTATAATTCAGATCGAACAACGGAAATATCTTTTGCTAAAAGCTTTCTGGATGCTCATTTTTCAGGGAAGACACGACATCCAAAACTCTCCAAGGTAAAGAGAAGATAGTTCTCCATCAACTGATTGAAGCGTACTAAGTGGTCGGCTGTGCAAAAGAGACTATAATCAAAGGATATATCCAGCCCCAAAAGTTGCGATGTTTGGTCGAAACCAGTACAGTTCTCCGTACCTTATTTATAGTGACGCAAGCAAAGTGGAGGACAGCCTTTGACCTGACAGAGGGGTGGTGATTGCGCTAGGTTAGCACTGATTACCTCTCCCATTCACTTCTATTCTTTTCATTAAAATAAGGCTTTCAAAAATTGTATCAGTACGACAGCTAGACATCAGTGTTTGATGTATTGCCGATTAGGATGATGAGGATGAATGCCCTTCGAATGTTTTACGATCCATTTTAATCTAGGTCGAACCGTTTTGGGGATAAAGCCTCTAAGATATACTGTCGAGAAATAACAGCTAAACTCAGTGATTGCATTGACATTAAGACACCGCGTTTTACCCTACACTTTGCTTGCTTAACACAAGGAAACTGCATCAAAATCTAACTTCTATTCTTTTTTATTCATTTTTTCGCCTGGGTGGGCATTTCTCAGTTCCAGATTTTTCCAGGTGGATAGACGGTCACTTAATTTCCCACCTCCCCTTTCCGTGGTTTTGAGCGAACTCGGACGTGAGGTCCAACAGGCGAAGGTACAGCCAGTAACAAATGGACCTTGTTAAATGTTTGTAGCCATTACATTTCAACGAAATTGAGGTAAACAATTAGCCAATGAACTGGCCGCCATCATTACAGCAGAATTCGGCTTCGAACAAATTATCTGCTTCCTAAAAAGAAACCGAACTTGCGTGAAAGCCGTGTTCCAAGTATGGAGTAAGATTAGTTTGATCCCAGGAAGTAGACCAAGAAGAATGAAGCCGCTAGTGGACCATCGAGGAGATTTATGCAATCTTATAAGTATTCAATATTATTGGATTTGGGGCAGTCTTCGAGTAACACACTCATAGACGCGAGTTTTACCGGGGATTTAGTAGGGTTTCCTGTCGACGCCAACCTAGTTTTAAATTGAGTGTATTTTGCCAAATGCGTACAAGTTGACGTTAAATTTGTTGGAAACCCTGAGTTTGTTGCTACCTGATGAGCCCCAAAACGGTTAAGCCGCGAAGTGGGCTGTCCAGGTCCTTTCCGAAACCGCAAAACGTGTTAAGCGGAAACGAACATGTTCACAACGGCTTACTTTTCTCCCCGGGCAACAGCAAACTGGCTGAGGTCAACAAACCTCTGGCAGCTAAACCAGCGTTCTTTATACCTATAACCAGAAAAGCCTGTTCAACCCGAGCAGTAAAACACATGGACCTTAAGTTAGTAGCTCAGTAAGGAAGTACAGGCAGCAGACCGGCAATATTTGCTGACCATGTAATAACTCTCATATTTTTTCCGTAATCCCAGAATACTTTTCATAGTTATTCCTACTTAATGGGGCAAATTTGATCAAAGGTACCAAAGCAATGTTCTGTGCCCTTTTATCTAGCCATTACGCCAAGAGGAATACGTTTGAACTTGCATGATTATTCGTAAACTCACCAACTCAACGCAGCCTACTCCATCCCACGTCTTGATAATCACAACCAGGGTAAAAACCATAAAGTATCAAATGAATTCTATTCAAATAGTGCTCTCAAATTTTCTTAATAGGTTAAAAAACAATAAACATCGGGTTTGTCCCCCTGCACCAAAGATTCAAGCTTACGCTCTCATTTGCTGGTTGACTACAACAAAAGTAAACTGACGAAACACTACTCATGAGGTTGCAGAAAACTCTCTGACAGCCCAAGATCGATTCCATCCTTCCTAGGGCTCATTAGGTGGCTGAAGTCTCCTGACTGCCGTCAACTTTATTTTCTATTTTACCCTCACACTGTGTGCAAGTTGCAAAATGCACACATCTGCAGAGAAATTTGACGTCTGTGTTGTGGCTGAAGTGACATCACGGGGATGGAGAAAATTTGTAGTCCAGTCTGGTACACAACGAAAGTACCAGTACACTCGGCCGTGAAACACAACCGGCGGTCTTCAACAAAGTTTGTTCTAAGTCATCATCAGGAATTTTGCTTTTTGATTCAGTATACACTTGCTGAAAATATCGGTAATCTTAATTATACCCAATACCGTGGAGCTTAGACCATCTTTCTAGGCAGCGCTCTCCCAGGTATAATGTATCGGATTTTTTCTGCCACTGATTTCAGTTTTTGAAGCATTTCATCAAAGTTGTAATTTATTTTTAAATTGCTATCATGAAATCGATGCCTAATTGAAAATAGTTATCCGGGAATGGATGCAAGTAACTCAGTGTGGCACTGTCATCTACTGAATGGGTAACGTGAGAAAGAGGCATCAGCCAAACATCTTGCTTGGTCAAGGCTCAATTGGGCTACGGATTTGCAATAACACTGAACATTTTTAACTACGTCCATCCCGCAAAGTGTTTTTGGCTCAAACGCGGTGATTAGCTACATTCAGAAACAACCTTGTTACTAAAGTAAATAAGAAATTTGCAATAAATCATGTGAAAATGCCTAGTATGAATTCTCGTGGCAAGTGCGTCTTCTTTAGTTGGGTTCTTTTATAAGTTACCAATATAGGCTAATAATGATTAACTCAGCTTTTGACGAATACGCTCATTTACATGTCGATTTGGCTTTCACAAGAAACTCGGTCGAATCTTCTATTAATGATATTGGTCAACCGAATGTGCTGCCCAAAGGGCGCCTCATGTGTCAGTTGGTACCATAAGGGTGATGTCGAAGAGTCTTCAGCAACCTTGTGAGTAGTGCCTTTTAAGAGAAACCAGCTCACTTATTCATAGGTCACCACACAATGCGCGCATCTGCATGTTAACTAAAAAGCATTTATGGCTAAAATGGGAGGCGTTGAAAAATGAGAGGTCACGAAATCATGGTGCACAAATGTGGTGAATCGGCTAATTCAGAACCAACCTATAAACGGAAACTGAGTAGTTTCATCGCATTTTTGTAATATGTCCATCACTTTCTCTCTCTCTCCTACGGGTTTCCATAGCTGCTGGCTTCCCAACAGTCAGAACATATGAAACACGTACACTGGACCTTTTCTGTCCATAATTTTGAAAGAGACGTTTTGAACCGTTATTGTTGCGTCCGTTTATTTATTATGCACTATAACGCATGATTTCGTTTCCGCACACTGTCAGTTCGGCCAAAGGTGATTCGTGCTGTGTTGTGTGTATTCTAAAGACTTCTAAGCCTTTCTTTGCCAAATTTTCATTATAACACGGAGAGATTAAAGTATTTATAATCCCATATTATAGGATTTTGCCAATAGTTGGTGGCAAATGGTCCTACAATTACTGAAATGGACAATAAAACCACTGAAACTGGTTAGTGATGGCATCTTTTAATTCATGTATTTTGTTTGCTCATATAATAGTGTCTAAGTAATAGGTCAGGGTGCATGTGTGGATACTACTCACAAGAATTATGGTACTGACTTAAAGTCAAGCATTCATGTGGTCGGTGAAAGTGCACTCGGATTCTGGCTGTCAAACAAATATATATTTTTGGAGCAAAACAAAAAAATGCCTTATAAAGACTATTAGGATTTTGGGCTGGAAATTAGCGTCTAGTGTAGAATCACCACAGAGTATCAAAGTGCTAATACGCAACAACTTTGTTATTCACAAGGAATAAAATGTATGTGGGAAGATTAAGTGAGCAGTCATGTTATTAGTGTAATTGCGGTGATCAAAAAATTTAGTTCCGATGGCAACAAATTTTGATTGCCTTTAGTGTTGAAGACTTTACAGTGAAGTGACTATTTCTCATAAAATCAAGGCTCCACTGTTCTGCATCAATCTAGTTCGCGACCAAATTGTACAAGTCTTACCGCAGAATGAACAGAATGCTTGTAAAGTTCGGCGCTTTCCCCCGTTGACTTGCAAATAGACGACATTCAGCTGAGGCTGAATCGGTTAGTAAACTGTATCAGGCTGATTCCCGGAAATATATTTCCCTTAATTCCGTATGTTGCAGGAAATATTCATTGACGTTTAAGACCAGAAATGGTGTAAACCATATAGATTATTGTGCTTGGTTAGTCAGCTGAGATAAACAGATGATAAAGAAATCAACGGGGAATTCAAATAGCTTGGATTAAGTCCAATGCATTTACTTCACCACGAGAACTTATATTGTGCGGTGGCCGAGCTATTGGGTTACGCCTGCACTGAGCTTGCCAGACTACGCGATAGGGAGAGGACAGAGAACTGGGGACACGGCTGTATTGCCAGGACAAAACATACCCAACGCCTGTGTAAATATATAGGATGACTAATTGGCCAACTATGGTCGTTCACTTGTTCGCTCCGTACAGCCAATGGTCGTGGTCCGGTCGTGAACATTCTCAGGCCCACTACGCTGGTCGTGTGTTGCTAGGCCGTGTTTGGCGGGAGCCGCCGACTCACCTACTTTCCGGACGTGTAGAGCCGATGGTGACCTTGGGGATGCGTCATTCTCTGCACATGTGCTTTTTCTTCTGTCTGGGCGCTCCCTGACAAAAACGCACCGCCTTGCAGAACTACCGAAAAGATCCATTCGCTAGCATTCACTAGCTGGGAAATTGTACTGAACGCTCAAAAGAGGTGCAACTGATTTCGGCGTCAAGCACTGCATTAGATCATATCCTCATGGGGTTGTGTTAAACATCTGAGTATTAACTGCTTGTATTTTGCTCTCAGCAACAACTTGTATGTCATTGTTCTCTTACTCCGGTTATTTCGTTTCTCCATCATTTTGGGCACTCAAACGTCATACTTCCGGAGATTAATTGGTATATTAAGGAAAAACGAGTTGTTTTTCGTTACTTCGGGATTGAAATTAAATTGACGGCATTCGTTTTCCGTCAGGAAATGTGCTACTTCACTCTGAGATGTTGACGTTAGAGCAGACGATACTTACTTAAACTTTCCAGCATTAAAAAACAGTATTGAATTATTGTTTCGTCCATGACGCATTTGGAGGGAAACACGCACCCGTTATTGTTAGTTTCGTAGCGTACCCTTATGAACTGGAAGCTTTTAAATACTACATCCTGTTTGCGAGCAATTTAGGAGTAGCACTTCTTTCATCCGCCAACCTGGTGACAAGATCAACCTTTTGACTTTCGGATAAGTGATTATGGTTAAGACGTTATGACCAACAAAAGCTAAATTAATGTGCTGACTTTGTCATGAAATTCACATTTTTTTCATAAAATATTCGAATGGCACTAAAAAGGAGTGAGAAAGAGTGAGATAACTCTTCTACTAGCCAATCCTCTCTAAAAGTGTCCACGCAAGTGACAGAGTTTGCCTTTTAAAAACTCGGTTATTGTCAACGGAGAATTAACAGCTGGAACTCTCATCCTTCATGTTCTGCATCTGAATGTACTCAGTTGAGTGCACTAATGAGAAGTTCATGTTGACGAAAACCAACAACAAAGGGATCATCTGAGTCCCTTGTGAACGCCAACTTACTTCGCAGCCGAGTATACTTGTCACTCACTTGTTATTGGCAGATTGATGCAGGTTGTCTAACCTTCTTTCGCTGTCAAAACCCTCATTGAAGGAAGAATTCTTTTCCATCCTTTTCGGCGGTCAGCTTAGATCACAAAAATATGTCGCTACATTTATTTGCGTCTATATGAGTTTTAGTGCGGCCGTTTCTGTCCACACGAACAATCACTACGCTTTCACCCCACCCACCCCCCACGGATTTAACCGGTCGATTTCAATAAATCATTCTCACCTCTCGTAATTAATAAAATTGTTTCGCTTGAAAGGTTTTGATCCTCAGATAAATTGTCATCAAGTTTGCCTGGATATTTACTACTAATTTCCGGCTTAATTATTATTGCAAAAAACCTCTTGAAAATGGTGAATAATGCCGAATCCTTGTTACTCAAGCAAGATTTTCAAAACTGGACCTCAAAGCTAGCAACCATCGAAATAGCCAAGGAATGGTGAGGGTTATGATGGCAACATCATTGATCCTACGGTTTTGAGGTAGGCAGAACTTTGTAGCAATTACATAACGCAATGCTTAAAGTTGGTTTGTACGCTGGGTTGGATCCTATTGCATTCCCCATGCTCACTGACAAATCGTGGATGCATATTGAATAATAGCCAAACTGTTCTTTTTGGGGGTTGCTCTCTTTATATCCGAAATACTTTGAGACGAGTACAGACGCAATTCAACTCACAGGTACAAAAATATACTGTGGTTTGATGTCCGAAGA